GGCAATCCACTGGCCTCAGCCTCCCAAAGTGCTGGGATTATAGGCTGAGCCACCAAGCCCCGCGAGCCTCTCTCTTCAGGGGCCTCCTCCCCTCAGCCTCTCTGTCTCTCCCTCCGTGTCTGTGCAGGTGTGTCTTTCTAAGCACCCTGGGGCTGTCCCCCACAACCAGCAAGCAGCCCGTGGGAGCCTCCTGCCTGTGCCTCTAATCACAGGAAGGTGGCTGGGCAGGGGTCTCAGGTCTGCCTGGGGCGTGGCATCTCCCAGCACCCGGGTTCGTACCTCCACATAGGAGTTATGTTCCTTTAGTATCTTGTTGGACAGAATGTCCTTTACTTTCTGCTTTTCTCCTGTCATGGGAGAAAAAAAGAGAAGAGAACAAGCACATGAATGGCGAGGTCGCTTTTCTTCTTCCCCACAGGAGCAGTGGGGACTCAGTGTTCCCATCTGTAAAACGGGGCAGTGATGATCATTCCTAACATGCGGGTTCGTCGGGAGCAACTGAGTCAGATGCCTCCGATGAAACGCTTCAGCAGTGTCCGTTCTCATCGGAAAGGCGGTTCCCACCCCCTTCATGTTCTCTGATTTCCGAAGAGATTGCGACTGGGGAGGAAGACCCGAGTCGCCCGTGGCCTGATGCCACAGAACACACGACAGATATTAGACGGGCGCTCTCAGCCACAGAGGTGCCCCCGGCCCGTCTGCGGACTCCACTGAAAGAACAAGATTTCACTCTGGGCTTCAGCCAGACGGAAACTTCCACAGGTCTTCCAACATGTCGTACGTTTCCTGCCTCTGAGCCTTCACAATCGCCGTTCCCTCTGATGGCAGTACTCTCTTCCTCTCACCTCACTGCCCCATTTGCCTGGTCAGCTCTTGCTTCATGCTCCTTCATGCTCCTGCTTGGCCTTTGCCTCCTCCAGGAAGCCTTCCCTGAGCTCTACCCTGACTGCCCCCGGCCCCTGTGTTGTCGCTGGTTTTTGACCCACTTCCCCCTGGACGGTCAGCCCAGAGAGCGGCGAGCCTCGCTGCCTGCTGCCGCGGTATCACCAGCGCTTGGTACAGTGCCTGCGTGCAGTGGGCACTCAGAGGGCGTCTGTCGCCTGGAGGGCTCCATCTGGCAGTGGAGACCCCGGGAAGGCAGAGGAGGGTACCCAAACAGCACAAGGCAGGTCGACTTACTCGTGACCCCTTTGAAGAGCAGGGCCTCCCCGTGGCCTTCCTTCTCCCGCTCCTGGAACAATCTGTAGCAGGACCTGGGGCTGGCCAGGAGCAGCCGGAAGCCCTGGAGGCACACACACCGGGGTCAGGCGGCTTTGCCCCGGGGGCTCCCAGGGAGGGGGCTTTGCCGAGGGTGGCCCCAGCAAGGGCCTGAACCCAGGCCGCTGCTTCCTTTGTCCCCCTCCTGTGGGGACGTAAAGACGGGGTCAGGCAGGTAAGGTATCCCCCCACCCCCTGCCCCCACCAGGCAGAAGGCAAAGCCTGGCTTGGAAACCCAAGCAGGTGGCATGGCTTCCTCCAGGCAGCCTCCCCCTGCCCACCGTACCTTCCTGTCAGGCGCAGGAACAAAGCTCAGGAATTCATCCACGTGGCCCACAGACAGCCAGTCCGAATAGAGCCTCACAGGGGCCTGCACCCGCTGGGCCACAAGGAAGTCCTGCAGGGCCGCGTGCATCTCCCGGCTTTCGCTGCTGCCAAGGCAGGGTTGAAGCGGTGGTGTGGGGTGGGACACGGGGTCTCTGAGGGTCTGGGGGCTTGGCAAAGGGTCAGGGCTCTCCTTCAGTCAGGGAAGGGATTCAGGAGCCTGGAATGCCTTTATTTTATTCCCTGACCTTGGAGGAGTCAGGAATTGTCATTCAATAGTTTTATTGGGGGGAAACTGAGGCACGGTCACTAAGGTGAAGAGGATCAGAGCTTAGCCTCAGACAGCACTGCCTGCCGAGGGCATGCGATGCTGGTGTGGCCGGTAAGCAAGGGGCCCGGGGCTAGGCCGGCCTGAGCTGCTGACGCCCTGTTGGCTGTTTGCCCCTGGACGTGCCTCCACTTGTCTCAGCTGTCTCCTCCGAGGCCCTGGGAGGTCCAGCCCTCCGCTCTTCCCTTGCTCAGTCTGTTCTAGCTGTCCTGGCCTCCTGGAACACACACGCTCATTCCAGCCTCAGGGTCTTTGCACGTGTTCTCTCATCTGCCAGACACTCCCCTTCTCCAGGGAGGCCCTCCCTGGTCACCCTCACAGTTCCTCTTCCTTCTCTGCCTTCTTTACGGTTTTTTCGCTGTGTGAAATTATCTTATTTGTATGCGTTTCTACCATCTGTCTCCTCTACTAGAAGAGTGGCAGGGACTCGCTTTCATGGCCCCACCTGCACACCCAGCTCCCAGCACACAGCAGAGGCTCAGCAAACACTCGTGGACTGAAGGTGTAGGTGGCAGGGCCTGACTCTGAACCTGGATCTGTCGGCACCAGAGCACGCATTCCTCGCCTGCACGTGGATTCCTCTCACGCCCTGAAGTGTGTGGCGCCCTCTTGGTCCCGGGCAGGCAGGGGGTTCTGCTCTGGTTTTCTGCCGTCCCACAGCACCCCTGGGCTCCAGCCGCCCCTTCCTGTCCCTCCTTACCCAGGGTAACTGCTGCTCCCGATGAGAATCCTGCCCAGCGGGTATTCCTTCTTCCCGACTGTGACCGGGGGGCTCACTTCCAGGTTCCCGAAGGAGTCGAGCCCCGTGACGCCCCCTGCTTGGGGCCCTCGGGTCACGTAGCCGACATCTGGACCCTGGCGTGGAGAAGCGTGGACAGAGTTAGAGGAATTAGGCCGGGTGAAGAGAGGGCGGAATCGGGCACAGGGCAGAATTCGGTCACTGTCCACGGCTGGCACACGGCAGGTCTCGTTATTTTGGGGGATGTGGAAGGAACAGTGAGTCGATTTGGTCGACACGAACTGGGACCGGCATTTGCTGGGTCCCCGACGCGCCCACGGCGTGGTAGACCTTGGCCGTAATGACTAATCCGCAAAGGGTCATTTCTATCCTCCCTCTGCAGATGAAGAAACTGAGCTCAGAGGGGTGACGTGGCACCTGCAGTTCCCAGAGCCAGCACGGAAGGACGCGGATTGGCGCCATCTCTATGGCCCGTGCTCTCGGTCCACACCAGGCTGCGCCCAGCTTCTCGGGGTGGCTGTGACATCCCTGCACGGATCTTCACAAGAGGAGCGGGTGACCCCTTGCTCAGCCCATGTGAGCCAATCGCGGCTGCTGGAGCGAACTGCCACCAACACAGTGGCTTAAATAACACACTTTTATTCTCTCAGAGGGCTGGCGTCCAGGCGTGGGGCGTCCTTTTCCCTGGGTTCAAGTCCAGGTGCGGTTGGGCTGGCTCCTCCCAGGCCCTGAGAGAAGGGTTGTTTCCTGGCCTTCTCTAGGTTCTAGAAGCTGCCTTGGGGGGGTTCCTTCTTCCATCTTCAAAGCACATTTCTCCAACCGCTGTTCCCTCATCACGTGGCTTCTCCATGACGACCCTCCTTCCTTTTTTTTTTTGAGTCAGAGTCTCACTGTATCGCCCAGGCTAGAGTGCAGTGGCACACTCACGGCCACCCCAGCGTCGACCTGCTGGCAATCCTTCTGCCTCAGTCTTCCAAGCAGCCAGAACCACAGGTGCACGCTACCACACCCAGCCAATCTTTTGATTTATTGTAGAGACAGGGTCTCACCAAGTTGCCCAGGCTGGTCTCGAACCCCTGGGCTTAGGCAATCCTCTTGCCTCGGGCTCCCAAAGTGCTGGGATTACAGGATTGAGCCACCATGCCCAGCCCTTTTTATTTTTTTTAATTAAAAAAAATTTTTTTTGAGTCAGAGTCTCACTCTGTCGCCCAGGCTGGAGTACAGCGGCATGATTCCAGTTCACCACATTCTTAACCTCCTGGGCTCAGGGGATCCTCCCACCTCAGTCTCCCAAGTAGCTGGGACTACAGGTGCACACCACCATGCTCCACTGATATTTCGATTTTTTGTGGAGATACAGTTTTGTAGATTTTTTTTGGTAGGTCTCACTATGCTGTCCAGGCTGGTCTCAAGCTCCTGGGCTCAAGCAATCCCCCTGCCTCAGCCTCCCTTAGTGTTGGGAGTACAAGTATGAGTTACCGCCTCCAGCATCTTTTTTTTTTTTTTTTTTTTTGAGTTGGAGTCTCACTCTGTCGCCCAGACTGGAGTGTCGCCCAGACTGGCCGGGAGCGGCCACTGCAGCCTCGACCTGCTGGGCTCCGGCGGTCCTTCCGCCTCAGCCTTCCGAGTAGCCGGAATTATAGGCGCACGCTACCATGCCCGGCTAATTTTTTGATTTATTATAGAGATGAGGTCTCGCCAAGTTGCCTGGGTGGGCCTCGATCCCGCGGGCTCAGGCAATCCACTCACCTCAGCCTCCCAAGGCACGGAATTACAGGCTGAGCCACTGAGCCCGGCTTAGCATCATTTTTTTATTTGCCTGAATATTTTATTGGAATCTTTTTATTTTGTTTCCATTCTGTTGAGTTTCACGGTTGCCTTCCATCTGTGGGATGTGCTACTGGTTTCTCGTTGACAGGGGTGACAAATGTCACTGCCACTATCTTAGGAGAGAACACCCATTGTGTATCAGGTCCTGGGCTAGAACCCAATGTACTTAAGGCCTCAGGCCCTGCCCTCACCCAGGACAGGCAGACGGTGAAGAGGAAACAGCAAGTCTGTGGTTTAAAACATCGCCGGGCTCGGTGGCTTAGCCTGTAATCCCGCGCCTTTGGGAGGCTGAGGTGAGTGGATTGCCTGAGCCCGCGGGTTCGAGACCCGCCTGGGCAGCGAGACCTCATCTCTACAATAAATCAAAAAATCAGCCGGGCGTGGTGGTGCATGCCTGTAATTCCGGCTACTTGGAAGGCTGAAGCGGAAGGATCGCCGGAGCCCAGCAGGTCGAGGCTGTGTTGGCCGGG